CCCCCCCATTTGTTATAATGCAACATAGTCACTGTCCCCAATGCAGACTATAGACATCCCACTGTATGTATTAAAGGTCTACACAGCACGAAGACAGCAAGGGGTCATAAATAGAAGTTCTCTAAATACATCTGAAGTCATGTTTTTGTTGTGTTGGGGCCTACACTTATGTTTGGAGATGTCTCCTCTGAAAAACAGAGAAGCCACGGGAAGTAATGAGTGAGCAGGCCGCCGTAATGATAAGGTTGCTGGAAGCTCTTTAGATGGGACCTCGGTGTGCACCCCCCCCCCCCCCCCCCCAGGCAGTCATGACCACAAGTAAAGCTTTGCGTGCGAATGGGGAGGAGGGAGACTCCCGGCCCCCCCTCCTCCCCTTCCGCTTTACAAGTTTCCATTTGGGTTGAAAGAAATTGACTTTGGCAAAACAAACCGCTAATTATAAGCTACACGGTTCCTGTTTTATAATACGGTCCAAAAAAAAGGGACCATTTTGCTTGGAGAAGCTCTTAAATGAAGGCATACTTGCTGAATTGATGCAAAAGTGGAATATTCCCATGGGGTCTTTAAAGGTACCCGGCTGTTTTTATGGCAGGACATAGCAGACACTTTCAAAATAAAAGCAGAGCAGACCACAGGCTGCATTTGATAGGATTAAACTCCTAAAACACCAGTAAAGCAGTTTTGTTGTTGTAGGATATGCTTTTATACAAGCTGACATAACTGTACTAAAAGTTAGGAATATTAACACCGTGATCTTGATGAACCCTAAAGAGTCCTGACAAACGCACCAACCTGGAGCTGAAGGTTCATGACATAAAGTATTGTTTTAAAGCTAAACATGTTTCCCTAACTCTGCCTAGTCTTGTGTTTCCAGGAGAAATACGGTGCTACTGCGACGCGCCGCACTGCGTGGCCACCGGCTACATGTGCAAGTCTGAGCTGAACGCCTGCTTCACCAAGGTCCTGGACCCGCTCAACGGAAACTCCCCCCTCACCCACGGGTGTTTAGACCCCGTCGCCAACGCGGCGGACATCTGCGGGAGCAGCTCCGGGGCCGCCGACGTCCTCGCCGGGGCCTCTGCACTGGAGTGTTGTCACGACGACATGTGCAACTACAGAGGCCTGCACGACCTGGCGCACACCAGGGACTCGACAGGTAAAGAAGACGCACCGCTGACGGGCTGTTTGTTTGTGTTTCTCACTCAAACTGAAATCCTCTTTAGCTTTTTAAAAATGATTACACTCTGCGGGGGGATTTTTACGATTCCTCCTCAGCAAATATTCAATATTTCCCTCTTTCCTGTTCCAGAAGCAATACATTGAGCCTTAGGGTTCTTCAAACACTCTGCTGTTTATGGACATGCAGGCCACCCTTGCCCCCTCCTTCTACTTCTTCTTCTTTTCCCCTCTACTTCCCAGCTTTACAGAACTTCAATTTGACTTTTAATAGGCTCCAGCTCTCCGCCTGGGAAGCCAGGGAGCAGCCAGTTTACCTTAATAAGCACTTGGAAAGAGATCAGATGTATTCGTTTTTTTTTTTTTTTTTTTTTTTTTTTTATTAGTGTGTGTGCATCATGTCATCTTCCCACTGAGTAGGAATGTGCATCTCAGAAAGGATATTCCCAGACAGCCCTTGCATGTTGGCCAGAAGTAATGAAAAGGTGCACAGAGAGACAGAGAGGAGGCCGTCCTGTGGGATCGGTCTGTCGTGACCCCTGACCGGAGCGCGCTGTGGTTTATTAGCTCAAATTAATTCCTGGCTCTCAGTCGGGGCCGGGTGACTCATTTGCGGCCCTTTCTCACATCATCGCTCCCGTCTGAGTGTCTTATTTTCTCTCTCGGTGGTTATGCGAGCGTGCAGTTAAAACAGATCCTATGTGTGTCTCTGTGTGTGTGTGTGCACAGATCACAGCCGGTACCAGCCCGACGGCGGCAACAGGAACCTGGTGACCCGGGTCCAGGAGCTGGCCTCGGCCAAGGAGGTCTGGTTCCGGGCGGCGGTGATCGCTGTCCCGATCGCCGGCGGCCTCATCCTGGTGCTGCTGATCATGCTGGCGCTGCGGATGCTGCGCAGCGAGAACAAGCGGCTGCAGGACCAGCGGCAGCAGATGCTGTCGCGGCTCCACTACAGCTTCCACGGCCACCACACCAAGAAGGGCCACGTGGCCAAGCTGGACCTGGAGTGCATGGTGCCCGTCACGGGCCACGAGAACTGCTGCCTGACCTGCGACAAGATGAGGCAGGCCGACCTGGGCAACGACAAGATCCTGTCCCTGGTGCACTGGGGGATGTACAGCGGCCACGGCAAGCTGGAGTTTGTATGACTCCCGCCAGGAGCTACGTGACTGTCAGGACCGCCTCTTCGCTGTCGGCTTCTGCTTCTGTTTAAAAGACATTCCCATGTTTTTGTTTTTTCCATTGGACTTTTGGGTTGCTGGTTCTTTTCAACCAGTGGCGGAAAGAAAATACGAGACTGATCTCATGCCGTGTTTATTTTTTATTTTTTTTGCTAGAGGAGCACTTTACTTGAAAAAATGAAAGGCAGAGCAACAAGGAGCTGTATTTAAAAGTGGAGACGGGCAGAACTGAGGTGGAGCGAGAGCTCCGTCACTGCTCCGGAGGATCCTGGACTTTCACACTGAGCGCTGAAGGATTCCAAATCTGTCTTATTTGCACATTTGTAAAAAAACAAAACAAGTTGTTGCTTAAAACACAAATTTTACACTGACGCCAGGGTACAAAAAAGTGTTTGACTGTTGGTGCGCACACTCCTCCTGTGTACGTTTTCACGATTCAAGCTTATTGTAAAGATTTGAAAAAGAAAAAAAAAAAAAAAAATTATATATATATAATTTTTTTTTTTTTTTTGTCTGATGAAACTGACCGGTGTGTGTCTTGTTCTGGGTGAATGTCCAACATCTCTCTCTGTGATCAGACTATAAGCTTGAATGTGAGTGTGAAAGAAAAAAAACTTCCATTAAAATGATTTTTTATTTATTTCACGATTCATTCTTGTGTTTTTCACATAACATTTAACGACGGGGGGGGGGGGGAAATTACTCTGCTGCTGTCATAACAGTTTGGCACACAGTGTTACATTTTGTTAAAATCAGGGATACAAAGGTGTGTGTGTGTGTGTGTGTGTATTAGACCTGACAGTGCGGACTTGTTTTACAGTAGAGCTGCTACATTGTCAGTTGTTCTTGAACCCTCTCCAGAGGTCACGTTACACCCCCCCCTCACTGGTTGGATTTATCCTGGAAGTAGTGGTGGTGCTATTTATTTTATCCTCACTCTAATGCCTCCCAGAGTCTGCTTTCCTGGACGTCAGTGAGAAACACTGTCCCTCCTGTGTTAGTGTGTCAGTGAGGAGGGATTTTAAATATTACTTGGCTCTTATTTTCAAACGTATGGTTGATGGTCTTTATTCATCTTGTCAAATAACTGAAAAGACAGGAAAAACAACAAAAAACCCTTTTTTTCTGTGCCATGGAGCTCCATTGGTGTCCTAAAACTATTAATGACAATGCACAAACATTTATTTTGACTCAATCCCACATACACACTCAGAAACACCAGTGTTAATCCGCAGTGGAAAATAGTCCCAGAGAAATGCACTATCTTCTGTTTGAGTGGCGTTTGCTTAAAAACGACAGCGCCCGGCTGTTTATTTGTGACGTGCATCTCAAGTTCTCTTCAATGGTTGGTGAAATGGTACAGAAGTGAAAAGGAGAAGTCAGATGGACTGACGTGTTGTTGGTTATGTCCTTCTCTTGGGATTGTTGACAAACACCAGCCTGATCCTTTACCCAGTTCTGTGTTTAAAAGGCTGGTTTAGACAAATCTCAAAGTGGTATCTGGCCATGCACTTAGTTAGATAGTTTGGGTTTTTGAGACATCAGCGCAACCTCTACGATGTTGGATTATCCACAGAAACGGTCTTCACAGCGGGCTGCGTGTTGGGCAGAAAGTGGATTATCCAGAGCAAATGGCTACTAATTCAAGTGATTATTTCAGTGAATTGACCCTTTATACAACGACTGTTGAAGGATTTACAGGAACCATTATGGGGGACGAGTTACTTTCTGGCTGAATTCTTGCTAAATGTGTGTATGCAACAAGCGGAACGGCGAAAATTTCACACCCGGAGCTACCGGTGGGTAAGACATCCTGTAAGTGGTCTAAAGTTGAGTCGGTGAAGTGTGTGTGTGTGTGCGTCTCTGTCTCTCTGTGCTGAGCGGTGACCCTCGTGTCTTTCCATTAGGAGGACAGGAAAACACTATTAGCTGCTAACCACTTAGCGGCAGCTTGCATTAGCGAGGCTCGGCCCGCGCTCGGGGCCTCCCCCGGGACTATTACCCTTGTAATATCAACAATGTCCTGCGCCTGGCCTGCCTAATGTGACTGCTGTTTTCTTTAGCCTGATTCTACTTTTGCCGGCTCACCCCGTGGGTGTCGGGAGGCGACGTGGAAATCGCCGCGCACGAGCATAAAAAAGTTAGTTTGGACCTCTGCGAGAGGAGGCGTCAGTTCTGCGTAAAACACGGGGGGGGGGGCACACTTGTCTTTTTCCTTTGAGTGGCTGCTTTTGTGCTTCAATTACACGCACACACCACCTGGCCCACCACACACACACACACACACACCGGAGTGCGCTGCTATAGCCAGGCCTCCTCCCGTCCCGCCGATACCCAGCGGTCTTTGTTGCGGCGGCGCGGTCATTAGCAATCTGGCCATTTTGCGCAGCACTAGGCGGTCAAGCTGTTTGCATTCACATGCAGATTTTAACGAGGCGGCTCACCGGCCTCCGTCAAAAGGGCCCCAATTTGTTTTGAAGCGACTTCAAGCCGACCCCCGCCACGGTTTGCCAGAGCTTCTTTGGTCTTGGAGTTGATTTCTTTCTTTTTTTTGTCCGCCTTTACATGGGTGACGTTCCTGCAGCATGGTGAAAATGGACTCGAAGGGATTTGAATCTGCGAGGTGCTGCCTGTGCGCCCCCCCCACCCCTGCAACCCTCACAGGCCCGGGAAAAGGCCTCGTACCCGCTGTGGTGGAACAATATATACGAAGTGTAAACACACGTGGAACCTGTTAACACCTGAGCGCATTAATGGTGGCACACCTCCCAGGGTAGCAACAGGCCCGCATAGGTTCCCTTCCCCTCCAAGTCCTCACCAGTTCCCTCTTAAAATATAAATATATGATGCAGCGCTGAAACAATGCATGGGTCAGTCTATCGGCTAAAGCTTCTTCGCGGGACAGAAGCAGCCCTGGTTACTAAATCATACCACCAACACTTGAAGGCTGTTTACCGGTTCCCGACCACAAACAAATACAGACATTCCAGAAAATAAACACAACTTCCAGAAGACAACAAAAAATGAAGGATTTTTAATTGACGAATCGGCACTACTGCCGAGACAAATCATCCTCTGTGGTGACAGACATCTGCTGGGATAAGACGCAATCTAAATATTTAGCCAATTCATTTCCTTCCACTGGATGAAGCTGCGGCTCCAGTGGATGTCCTCGTATACCCCCCCCATCTAAACATTTACCCATGTGTGTTGTTAACATTTAGATATAAATCTGCCCCAGAAGAAAAATAATAATGTTGGGAATGTTTACGGGACGGACGGGGCTTCATAAAACTTAATGTCACCTTGTGTAAATAGCACAAAAAACAAAAAAAGGTTTGAGAGTTTTCAGCAAAGTCCAGCAAGAAAGTGCAAACAGAGTGGCTCATTTGCGCACGCACACACACACACACACACACACACACACACACAGAGCTTTAGGCCTCGGTGATGAGCCGTCACAGAACTGTCAGGTGCAGGTCTACTTTTTCTCAGGAGCTTCATGGACGACGTGGTGTCCTCCTCCTCCTTGTGCAGCCAAGGGCTCTCAGTAGACCTCTATCCGTCAGCTGGGGGCCACGGGGGCCCCTGAAGGACAGATGGTATAACAATGTCAACCGCCCCTCTGGCTGCCCTGAGAGGCAGATGGTCCCTCCAACCACTCATCCACTCGTGGATGACATGAATAGGATAATGTACTGTAAGTGAGTGGTAGAATTTCCCACAAAAAAACCCCCAATAAAACAAAGTAGTATGAAATGATGCTATGCTAGTTAGCCAGACACACTGGAGTTTGCGCTTTACGTTGGAGCGAACAACGGGTCTACTAAAACAAACCTGCAATTACCGCTTGTCGCCATAGGTGCCGCCAAAGAGATCGAAATGGAGATCTTTATATATTTATTAAATATATTATAAACCTGAATCTGTAACTACAGGAAAGCCGCCCAGGGGCGTAGTGACCTCCCTAATGTTGCGTGCACGCTGAGGACCGATCACAGTGGTTCCCATAAAGCCACCTTGCTTGGCAGTGGGCCAGCCTCCTCTACCTAACAGAGATGTGAGCCTTGAGCTTCCGACGCTAACTGGCTGGCTCTGTTATGCGTGCTCATTGTGTGGTGTAGATCTCTGGGATTACCGGGCTGAAAGCAGAGACGTCTCTCTGACAACGGCTCTGTGCGAGCGAAGTTGAACCACTATCAGAGTTTAGGAAGTGGTCTAAGATAACATACGGTCGGCGGTCTAATTAAATACCGATACACAAAGTTATATTCCAGGATTTTAGCTGTATACCAACTCCATACTGATTCTAAGCAGGTATGTAATGTGGAAAAGTGACAAAATAAAGTATTTCAGAATGTGTTTTACTTTTTTTTGTTGGTGTTATTCTCCCACAATGCAATGCTGGATGCTGAATGCAATGGATTTTACTGTACTCTGTTTCTTACCTCCACGGTTTCCCATTGACATTAATGACAGCCAGGTGGATGCTCGCTGTCACACAGGGTTGACCCCTGGTTTTCTGGTTAGAGGACAGTCTCCTAAACACAACTCCACTCCGTTGCCTCGTGTTAGCATTTAGCTTTCAGCTTTAGAGAGAAACGGCTCATCCAAACTTTATCCTCAAGGAAATGGATAACTTTTAGCTGTCGCACGGAGAGAAGCAAATCTCCCGTAGCTCCCCCTGATAAATGTGATTACAAGACTCTAACAGACTAAATACCGTGGGCCGACTGTGTATCCATAAAAAACGCCCGGGCGTGTGTTTTGACAGAGGAGACCCACCACTTCACGCCGCCAAAGGAGTCTGAGTGATAAAAGCAAGTGGAGGGCTAAAAATCCTCTCCGCCTGACAACATGAATTTATCTGTATGTTTGCGTCTGAGCACTTGCTAATAGACATGACGTCCACGCGTTCAATGCAAAATATGACATTTAGGAGCTGCCGTGTTTTTTGGGGATGTGCATATTAACAGGCTAGTTAATAATGTGGTGCTGAGTGAGACAATCGACGTAGCAGAATGTACAATAGCCGGGTTTTGAATCGGTGAATTTAGAATGTGAAAAGTCGGGGACTGTTTGTGCATGTCAGTGGGAGATCACTGAGCAACAGACGCCGACATCAGCACCACCTCTGTCTATCCAGAACAGCCGCGCCCCCCCCCCCCCCGGGAAACGACCGGATACTTGTTAGCCAGTGATCCAGCACATGAGGCCCTTAACCCACAACCCCCCGCAGCACAGAGACACTTAGGGGTCAGCGCCTCCCCCGTCACGTCCTCATCTGCTTCCCCCCAAAGCACACTCACATACGGGCATGTGCACACACCCGATTAGACCAGAGTCGGTGTCAAGGCCTGATTAGAAAAACTCCATTCTACTTGTTTTTTTAAAGTCACTGTTGGCGAAAATGTAAACCTCTTTAGATGATTATTTTCTGTGAAAGTACAGATACACTGACGTGATGGACATTGGCCAAATTACTTTTTATGGCAATTGATACACTGTAAAAATACCAATTTATATAATTTGGACATAAAACAACCACAAAAGTCTCTCCAACTTGTATTATTAACTTAATTGAATAGGTTTGTCAATTTCAAGTCAGGTTTAATTCAACTATTCACCC